CTCCCATGTCATGGAGCTCTTCTAGCACGGGTGATACTCAGAACCCCTTTTCTGTCTCCCCTGTCCATCTCCCACCCCTCCTCAAGGCCAGGAGTCCTCCCGGGGCTCTTGCGGGTCCTGCGTCATCAGATCATTCACTCAGCATGTCACCTGTGTGGTGGTTGAGCTGTGCGTGGACAGGGCAGGTTCTAGTTTTGCCCACTTCACTGTCCTATACCCATGTGCACTTCAGCCACCTTAAAATGCACAAAGCCGTGTTTTAGTGTATCCACAGCTGTGTGCTCCCTCGCCAAGGCCAGCGTGAGAGCCTTGCACTACGCTCAGGGACTAGGAGTTGCCCCCCTCACCTTCCCCCTGAGCAACCACAGAGCCACTGGCCATTGCTGGGACTCAGTCCTGCTGGGCTCCAGGAGTCCTTATGAGGTCTCTTGAAGCTCATCATACCCATTTCCATTTCACAGATGCAGAAGGTGTACGCAGGATGGAGCCCTGGATGTCCGCTCAGCTCTCAGGCCCGCTCCAAACCTGCCCAGCCCCCCTCCTGGCCTGGCTCTGCGGTCTCCTGGGGCCCTGTGTGGTGCACAGCCAAGGGAGGCTGGGGTCCCAGCTTCAGGAGGCAGGGGTGGGCATGTGCCACAGGGCCATGGGTCCTGAGCAAGTGCTGCCTGGACCGCTGTCCCTTGCCATCACTCCCTCACCACCACTGTCGGCTCCTCCCTCACCTGCTTTCCAGGTGCGCGTCCCTGCAGGAGAAGGTTGCGGCTGTTGTCAGCAGTTGGGGGGTGAGAACGGCTCCATGCAGGAGGTGACTGCTAAATTCTCCAGCTCCTAGATGGTGCCTTTCTTCATCCCCTCCAACCACTTGCCACTGGGGACCCTCCTCTGCATCCTGCGCTGCATGGGGACATGTCCTTCAGGTTGCTCCTGTCGGGCCTGCTCTGCGGACTCTTCTCCCTGTCTTCCACGGCTCTCTGAGTTCCTGGAAGGAAGGGCCTGGCCTGGGCCTTCTTTGAGGGCCCCTCCTTGGAGGAGAAGGCTGTGCCCCGAGTGGGACCCTCCTTGGGGCTGGGCCCAGGGTCACCCTCTGACTCTGCGGCCACGGGCAGACAGGGCAGAGGTGGAGTTGGGCCAGCCCTGGGGCTTCTGGGATGGTGTTCCCACCGGCGCTCTCTAAGAAGACCCAGCTCACGGGACAGAGGGGCAGATTCTGGAGAGAGGGTGCCCCTTGTCCCCAGGACTGGGGGCAGGGCTAGGACAGAGCAGGCCGCCCTTTGACCCAAGAGAAGGGTTGCCTTGAGGGGCCGCTGCCTCTAACCAGGACTTTGCATGACCAGGAGGCAGAGGCCCCTCATAGGCGGCCTCTTACTCTCTTCTCGAACAACCCTCCCAGACACCGTTCCCCTCCTCCGGGACATTCCAGTTCTAGGTGTCCTAGCGGCTGTCCGCAGCCACCCTGTTGTTGCTCTTGTGCCAGGCTGGCAAGTCACCTGTGTCTTCTGCATCCCCTATTAAGAGGTGTGTGTGACCCAGGTGACCCAGTCCCTGCCCTGGGACACCAGCATCATCCACGCATTAACTCGCCACGCAGCCAGCTCAGGACACACATGCGTGCCTGTGGCAAGGCCGTGCTACTGTGTGAAGCTGCTGCTGTGGGACAGGGGCGTCCTGCCCCCTTGCCTTCCCCTCCCACCTTCTCCCATGACCACTTGCGCCTCCTTCACTCCCTCTCCCCACCCTCCCCCTACCTACCTGAGACTCGCGTCTTCCGTGATGTTGGGTGGACTTCAAGGTCTCTAAAAGAGCTCAGGCTGGCGCACAGAGGTCCCGATGAGTCTCACTGTTGGGTCTCAGGTCACATGGGATGGCCATGAGGTGTGACTTGAGGGCCCATGGGCCCAGCTGCGGGGTGTGGGGCGGGCCGGTGGAGTGGGGTGGGCCGGATTCCGTGTGTCACTTTTTTTTCATGAAGAGAGCAGAGCTGAGCCCAACAGGTAAGTGGGGAGGTGACCTCCTGCCTCTGCTCTGGCCAGAGTTTGGGGAGCTTCCAAGGCTCCAAGCCCCTGAGTCAGGGGCTTCCCATCTGACCCATGACCACTTAAGAAGGACGAGCCAATCTGGGCCTGGTGGTGAGCGGGTGGGGATGGCTGGCCAGTGTGTGCTCTGTGGGCTCCACAACAGGCCCAGTGTGAGCCCAGCCGGGAGCCTGGGGTGGGGGAGGCATCTTGTGGAGGGGACAGGTGGGCTGGGGATGGAGAGGAAGGGTGACAGGGGTGGGGGGCTGCCAAGCATGGGCCTGGGGGCTCTCCTTCATCTGCTAGATGCTGTCAGCACTGGTGGGGGTGGGGGCTGGAGTGCCAGGCTGCACAGCCACTGTGTGGAGTGACAGAAGCCGGCCTTGAGCTTCCTCCTGTTTCTGTGGTGGCCGCAATCTTGTTGAGTAGCGTGTCCTTTAATGCCAATTTTTTTATTTTTCAGGACAGGAGAAAAAAGGTTTGTAATGCATGTTTTGTTGTTGTTTTTTTTTTTTTCCTCTTTCCTGGAAGACGGGGACAAAATAACCTGGTACTTTTCCTTTGTTAGTGGAGCTCTGGGCCTGGGCTGCGCCCTGTCTCTGTGAAGGAGCCATCTCGGGTCTGGGAGCAGGGGCTGCTCCTGTGCAGGCCACCCCTGTAGCTTGTGTGTGTGTGTGTGTGCATGCCTGCGCTGTCCTGTGGACAGGCCTGAGTGGGCATCTGGTCCCTTCAGGGCTCTGACTGTTTGGTGATGACTTCTGCGTGGCTTAGCCTGTGAGGTGGTCCCACTTGATTCTCTACCTTCCAGGAGCTAAGCAGGGAGACATGGTGGTCCTCACAGGTCCTCACAGCCTCTGGGTCCCCCAGGGGTCACACCATGTGACTTGAGGTAGAGTGCCTGTGCTGGGGTGGGGTCCACACTGGGCCCTCAAGCTCCACTTCTTGGTAGCAGATCTTGGGACCCTCCCCCCTCCACCCTGCCAAGAAGAGTGTCATCTGGGAACAGTGGGGGTTTTAGGAAGCCACCTGGTGACTGTGTCCCCTGTTGGATGATGGGAGAGCAGATTGCAAGATGCACAGCCACCCTCTGAAGTCACCCAGCAAGTTAGGGTCAGGGCCTTCCGTGACCAGGTTGCTAGGGGATGCTGGAGTTCTCACAGCTGAGCCTTTGACCTTGACCCACGGTGCCTGCTTGGAGCTGCTGCCTGGGCAGGGTGGACAAACAGGAGAGCTGTTCTGGAGCTCTGGGGCTGTTGTGATGTGAGCTGTAGGTGGGAGTCATTGGCTTGGCTGTGACCATAGGTTGCAGGGGCAGAGTGGCCCAAGGATGGTAGGGCAAAGGCCACCAGATCTCAATTTTAACTCTGTCCCCAACTATTTGCAGCTCTCTCTGAGCCCCACTTCCCCAAGCTTGTCCTGCATAATTGGCACTAGATGGGCAGGGGGAGTGGCATGTGGGCTGTGCCCAGGACTTTATTGGTGACCCTTCTGAATTGTTACAGAACCCTCATGGGTCTGAATGACAGGTGAGGAAACAGAGGTCAGCCAGTCCAGCAGAGCTGGGGAGGGGACAGCAGAGCCTGCCTGGAGGTGAAGCCGAGCCCCTGACCGGAGGCCTGGGGATCCTGACCATGATCTCTGGGTGTTGCTGTCGGGGGTAGATGACTCAGACAGATGGACGGGAGGAGGCAGCCAGGCACCCCAGGGATTGTGAGGGCACAGTGAGTCCAGTAAGGGGCCGGGGGAGTACGGAGGGAGTGGACGAGCTTCCAGCACTGACCTTGGGCTCCTATGGGCTGTTGTCTCTGTCCAAGGACGCCACACGCAGGAGGGGTTGCACATCTCCGTGCTGCAGGGCTCCTTGTGCCTTGGCATTCTTCTCGGGGACAGAGTAGGGTCCCATCTGTGAGGCCGCTGAGAACTTGGCTCCGGGACAGGTGTGTGTCAGGCCCCTGCAGTGCTCTGACCTTTGAACTTGAGCTCTTTGGGTGGTCTCTGGGGGCTTACTTAGGGGCAGATCCCAGGTCAGGGCCTAGAGGGCAGAGCTGATGTCCCTAGAGTACTAGGGCCCTGTGCATGGACCCTGTCTTGTCCCCCTCCCAGGGCAGGTCTGGGTTTTGCTGGGAGTGGTCCCAGTTTCCTATGCCCTGCCTTCTTGCAGGGTTCCCACATGAGGGGGACCAGGGTGGGCTGGGCACCCCTAAGGGTGCAGAGGCCCCTCCTGGATTGGGGGCCTGTGCCAGGTGGTGGGTCAGTGTGTACTGGATGGGGAGTGGTGAGTCTGAAGCCAGTGCGTGCCACCAACCCCTGCTTTCCTGGCCCTCAGGAGCCTCTTTTCCTTCCCGGGCAGTACAGCCTCAGTACAGCCATTTGCCACTTTTAGGGCAGGGGTCCCTTTGAAATGGGGCTGAGGGGTGAGACCAGGGCTGGCAGGCCCCCTGGGCTGTGGGCACGGATCACCCTCACTTCCCCTGTGGCTGAGGGCCCTCGGTTTCTGGGCATCCCCGCTCTCAGGCAGAGGCTGTACCCAGCACTCCTGTCCCTCGTGTCCCCTCCCAAGTGCACCTCCCTTCTTGGAATGAGCTTGTGGGGTGAGCAGCCATGTCCACATGGGAGGAGTAAGTGCCCAGGGCCTGGAAGGGGACACTTTTAGGAGGTAGAAGAGGGCTGCTGTCGTGTGTTTCATGGGGGCCATTTCAGGGGACCCCCTCCCCCTCACTCCACTTGCTCTTCCCCCATCCATCTGCCACCTCCAACCGCTCCTGCCCCCCGCCCCCTCCTGCCTGACTCCCCACCTGCCCCCTCCCATGCCTGTCTACCCTCCTCCCTCCCTTCCCACCCCCCACCTTTTAGAACAAACCACAAAGTCAGATCATCTTTTATTCTGCTTTATTTGGGGTTGGGAAGCGGGTGGGGTGGGAAGGTGTGGGGAGGGCGTCCTCCGTGGCAAGAAGCGGGGTCTGGTTGGAGCACTCTTGGCTCCTCGGCACAGGGGCAGGGTGTCTGAGCCTTTCTCAGTCTCTCTCGGGTCCCCTCCCTCTACTGGGGGCCTCTGGGCCCTGCACTGTCCAGCTGTGAGCATTGGGAGGGGCAGGGAGTCCATTCAGCACGGCTGCCCGCTCCGGTGTCCCCTGAGTCTCGGGGGCCATCAAGGTGGGCAAGTCCATCTGGTAAGTAGCACTGGCACGTCAGACACTCCTCGGAGCGGCTCTGTCCAGGTAAGTCCAGAGCTCAGGGTCAGATGAAGTCTTTAGTGTCGAGGGAGCCGAACCAGACGGTGGGGGGTGGGCTTGCTTGCGGTGTGGGCTGGGGTGGGGGGAGGTGCCTGCAGGACCTCGGGAGGCGGGGAGGGGGTGGGGTGGGGGCCCAGGGGAGCAGGAGCACCGGTGGTGGAGGTAGAAGAAGTCAGTGGAGCACCCGAGGTCAGTGTCCCAGGATGCACAGGGGGCTGCACGCCACTCCGGGCGGGGGTCCCTGGCATCTGCTTGCTTGGCTGCACCCGCTGTGCCTGCTTCTGCTTCTGGCCTTGGGTCACGGGTCATTTCCTGCTCGTCACTGCCCTCTCCTCTCGTGGATGTCAGTCCCAGTTGTGGCCTGGGACCTGGAGAATTTGGACGGGGTTGTGTAGCCCTGAACTGACTCTGGGTCACTGATGACTCGATAGTCCTTTAGCACAGATGGCGTTGCTGGTTGATGAGTCGAAGGAATTTTGCCCTTCACAAGTGGGTTCCCCTTGGGTCAGGAGTGGCAGGAGGGGCGCTGGGTCTGAGCGAAGCTGGCTGAGGCGCAGGGAGCATGGTGGAGACTGCAGGGTGCTGGTTGGAGGAGAGGGGCCTCCTGGCTGGAGAGGAGGTGTCTTCAGTCGAGGTCAGCGTCCTCGAGGTCTGGTAGTTCTTCCAGGCTTGCTGGTTCCCTGGGCTGATGCCCAGCGGCTGGGGCAGGCGGGGCCTGCCTGTAGGTCATGCTCAGGAATCGGGTCAGGGCCTGGGCCACCTGCTCCCTGCTGAGCAGCGTGAGCCTCCCATCGGCACCTCGCACGTGGAGCAGGCGATTTTGGAGGAAGTCCAGGACCTCAGGGTCCATCAGGTTGCGTGGGCGGAGAGTGAGGGCACCGGCCGTCTGTGTGGGCAGGGCTTCCTGCGCGTCGTTGTCCTGCGCGTCCTGCGAGGTGTCTTGCAGGCCGTCATGCAGGCCACACTGACGGTAACGTTGCAGGTCGTCTTGCAGGGCTTCTCGCAAGACGACATCCTCATCGCCAACGACGTGCAGCTCCAAGTAGCGGTTCTGGCGTGGGGCAGGGCGGCCACCCTCAGGTGGGGTGACGCGGACACCAAAGAACTCACAGAGTGTCAGCCAGAACCCCGGGGTGAATCTCAGGCCCCCGGTGGTCTGGGGGTGCAGGGCATTTCTCTGCCAGCGGCGGGGGCCCAGGAACAGCTCGGCCATCTCCTGGGCCGGCATGGTGTTGGCGCCCACCAGAGGGGGCATCTGAGTGAGCAGCTGAGCGATGGCCGTGGCCATGCTGCTGCTGGCAATGAGGGTCGAGTCCAGGATGAGGCGCAGGGAGCGCCGAGGTTGGGGCCGAGCCACCGCCATGGTGGGGGCTGGCAGCAGGGCAGGGCACTGTCTCACCCTCATGAGCACTAGGACGGCTGCCATGGCGAGGAGGTTCTTCCAGTAGAGGAGGCCGCGGAAGAAGTGCAGGATGACGGCCCTGATCTGGGCCATGCTGAAGTGGGCCAGGAAGCTGTTGAGGATCTGGTCGATGGGAATCATGGCCAGCAGCTCCTGCTGCAGGGCCTGCTCGTTGAATTCGTCTTGGTCTGGCTCGTGTCCGTTCTCCTCCTCCTCGGATTCGATGGTCTGATCCCTGGGGGATCCTCTCGTGGCATAGAGCAGGACGGGCCGTGTGGCCCTGCCGCGCAGCCCTTGGCGGCCGCGGTTTCTCACAGGTGTCAGGGGGCGGCCCCCGTCTTGTTCAGGCAGCTCCATGACGTCAAAGTTGAAGTGAGAGAAGAAGAAGACCCAATGCCCGGGGAGAAGTACGGTGAGCCTGTCATTATTCAGAGAGGCTAGATCCTCCGTGTTGAGAAGGATCATGATGGGCTCCTCGGTGTTCTCCAGGTAGCGGCACCACACCATGAAGGCAGCCCGGATTGGAAGGACTCTCATCTCCACCAGAGGGTACTCGACCTCGATGGGGGAGAGGTTTCGGGAGTAGAAAGCGCAGGTGACTCTCTTGCCAGTTTGGTCGTCAATTTGGATCAGGGAGGTGTACAGGGCCGTCCTGTAGATGCCCGTTTCCAAGTAGAACTGGTTCTGAGGCCTGGGGTGGTAGAGCATGGGCGCCTTGCGGAAAGCCCTCTTCAGGCACTCGAAGGCCTCCTGCTCCTCCTCTCCCCAGTAGAAAGGCTGGGTGCTCAGCACCTGCCGCACCAGGGGCTCTGCGATGATGGCAAAGCGCTCCACAAAGTGGCGGTAGGGGAACACGAACTCGATCAGGCTGCGCAGGGACTTCTTATTGACTGGGGTCGGGTGCCCCGTGATGATGTTCATGATGTTCTTGTTCAGTTTCACCCCTTTGGGGGACACGACGAAGCCCAGGATTTCTGCCGTCTGCCGGTGGAACTGGCTTTTGTCTAGTGAGCAGTAGACGTTGTGGTGCCGGAAGCGGACGAGGACTTGGCGGACGTGCTGGAGGTGCTCCTCCTGGCACATTGAGTAGACGAGGACTTCCTGGCCGTAGGAAAGCACAAAGAAGCCTAGCATGTCCTTCAGGATAAAGTGGATCACGCTCTGTGGTATGATAGGGTCCGGGGACAGCGCGAAGGGCTGGTAGCTCTTCATGTCTTGAAGCTCCAAGCCGAATGCTGCTTTCCATGTCTCCTCTGTTCGGTGGGCGCTCATGCTTCCCTCCACGATGGTCCCACGCAGCTCTAGTTTTGTGAACCACGCGGCTCCGTGTAACTGGTCAAACAGTTCCGGAATCATCTGTATGTAGTCCTGTCTGTCGGTCAGCATGTCCTGCAGCTCCCAGAATTCCTCTTGCTGCCTGGCTTCTTCTTGCATCCTGGCACCCACAGGTTCCCAAGGCGCGGTGGAGGGACATTCGTAAAAGGTCTCGCTGTGATCACTGTCTCCAGCCTGCTGAAGCTCAGAGGGCTCTGATTCAGAAAGATCATCGGATCCGTCTGAGCTTGGCTGGTCGGAAGTCTCATCATCTGCTTCCTTCGGGTTAAACACGTCGGCCAGGTCTGAGTATGGGTGTGGCAATCCGGGCAGTAGGCTTATGCTGTGTCTCTCCAGTGCGATGCATGGCGGGGGTGGGCGGAAGCAGTTCTTCAGGCAGTAGGGAGAGTGGAAGGTGCAGCGGCCTTTGATCCAGTCGACTTCTGGGGCGTGGATTCGGAGCCAGTTGATGCCCAATACCACGGAGAAGTTAGGTGAAGGTACGATGTCGAATTCGATGGACTCCTGGTGGTTCTGGTGAATGCACACCAGGGGTTCGGTGTACAGCCAGATGGGCTCATTGCCGATCAGCGAGCCGTCAACGGTCTGGATTGACTGTGGGTAGGGCTTCTCGTACAGCTCCACGTAGTGCTCTTGGGCAAACTTCTCATCCATGAAGTTGCCTTCGGCTCCGGAATCCACCAGGGCCTGGACCGCCACACTGTGGTAGGGGTTCACTCTGACCAAGAGCAGCAGGAAGAGATGGGCGCGATTGATGGCCGGATGGAATTCGCTGGGCAGCCAGCTGCTGACCATCCACTTCTCTGGAGCAGGTGAGTCGATCCAGGTCAGGTTCCGTGGGCGGGCCTCTGGGGGCAGCCTGAGCATGGCCCGTCTCTCTGCCAGCTTGTCTTCTATTTGCAGGATGACCACGATCAGGCTGTCCAGGGAATCCGGTTGTGGGACGCGGAAGAGATAATGCCTGATGTCCTCGTTGAGCCCCTGGCACAGGTGGGCCTGCAGGACTTCGTCTGGCCAGCCCAAGGTAGGTACCAGGCTCTGGAACTCATTGATGTAGTCGGTGGCACAGCGATTGCCCTGCCTGATGTTGAACATGGCCTCTTCTGCCACACGTAGTGTCTGCCGGTACTCGAACACTTCTGACATGGCCTCCAGGAAGGCGGGGAAGTCTCCCATCAGGGGGCTGTTCTGCTGCAGCAGAGCTTTGGCCCACTCCAAGGCTAAGCCAGAGAGGTGGCAGATGACATACTTCACTCGCAGGCGGTCGCTGTAGAACATTCTCGGGTAGCTTTGTAAGATCAGTTGGCAGAGCACGATGAACTCATGGTATTCTCTGCGATCGCCAGAGAAGCGCTTTGGGGCGGGAAGGCGGCCGGCATTGATCCCCCGTACCAGGATCTCCTCTGCTACTCTCTGTTGTTCTTTGAGGTCTTGCATTCGGAAGTACAGTGAGATGATGGACCGCATCATGGTCATGATTTCTGCGGGAGAGCTCTCGGTCTGGTTTTCCTCTTCGGGATTCTCCTTCTTAGCTGACTCCTTCAGGTCAGTGTTGCCTGCCTCTCGCTTTCCCTGGGCTCCGGATGGGTTGACTGACGCTTCTCTCATTCTCTCAGATGTTTCCTTGAGTGGATCCCCCACTGCCTGGTGTGAACCATAGCATGACTCCTCCAGGTCTTGGAGTAGGTCATTGGGTGGATCCTCTATTTCCTTATGTGGGCCACTGGATGGCTCCTCCATGTCTTGGAGTAGATCAATGGGCAGCTCTTTCATTTCCTGGAGTGAGCCACTGGGTGGCTCCTCTCTTTCCTGGGCTGGGCCACTGGATGGCCCGGCCGCCGCCGCCTGCGCTCCGCTGCCCGGTGTCTCCATGGTGGTGTTGGACGAGCCCTCGGAGGACTCCATTTGTTTTGATGATGGATTCTTACGCTCCATCATCGTCTCAAATGAGTCTTCAGAGGGTTCTATCATTTCGTCGGTTGGAAAGGAGTGTTTTCTGAAGATCGGTAAGGTTGGGACGCCTCCCGTCAGCGACTGGGACTGCAGAGATCAGAACCTAGGAACAGAGGGGACGGAGTGGGGAGTAAAGGCAGCAGTTTAGGGTCTCAAGAGGTCAGGGTCAGGTTCTCAAGCACAGTTCAGATGCCCAAGCAATCAGAACACAGAAGAGCCAGGGAAAACCTTCCTGTGTCCCAGCCAGCCTCCTTGGCTGGTCACTTGGGGCACCCCCAGGGAGAGACTCCGTCAACCCTGACCTGCCTCCCAGGCGGAGTCTGCCTGCTTGGCCCGCCTACTTCCTCCATGGGTGTGAGAAATTCACAGCCCATAAATTTTGTGGAGCAACTAGCCCAGAGCCGCTGCTGTGGCAAGCAGGCAGGCACCTGGCAGGGTACAGGGCTGCCCCATTACTCCCTGGCACATGTGCCTGGTCAGTCTTCCTCCCCGTCTTTGATCACCCGAGTCACAGAGGTCACATCTCAGTGCCATTCCAAGCCACCCCTGGCAGGCTTGGGGCTCTGGAGCAAGCCCAGCCCGTGTGGTTGTGGAGGCGGGAAACCCCGGCAGAGACGCCCGCTGTGGCTCCAGTTTGGGGGAAGAGGAGAAAACGGGCACTTGGCCACTCTCCCGCCAGCTGGGTCAGCAGCCCAGAATAGCTCTTATTTCCTCCTCCAGGTTTAAAATAAAAAATACGGAGGGGAGAAATCGAAGGCTGGGTTCTGGCTTTTATTTTCCATCCTCCCCCCACCATACATGTTTCTAAAAGGCCTACTATGTGTCGGAGAACTCCACCTCGGTTACCTGATCCTAGGCCACACTTTTTGGGGATTTCTCTTTCTCGATTTGATCTCCTTCCAATGCCATGTTCTCTCCAGCTCTGAGCTGTGAAGGAGATCTTCAGGTAACCTCCCCGCCCTCCTAAGATCTGCACTGTCTCAGGATTGCCTTCTGGGTCTGCTGGGCTCCTGGAACTTCCCACATCTGGCCTCAATTCCATGCATGCAAACATATTTGCAGGCCTCACCAATCACATCTTCCCAAGTCCCCTCCTCTGCTCAAGGAGGGGCTGGCCTCGTTCTGGCAGATGCCCCTTCTCTCTGTCCCTGATCGATTTTCTCCTACTTAGGAGTGTATCTGTCAGAGATGTGACCTTGGGTGGGGAGCAGAGCATGGGATACCTTTGAAACCTAAATGTCCTGAAATTTTGGAAAGTCTAGCATGGGTAGTTGTAGTGGGGTGAAATGGAATTTAAAGAGTTGTCTTGGTTTGGGGTTATTTGCATATTGCTTCTCCGGGGCAGAGAAAATTCAGCATTGATTATTTGATAGATAAGTCATAAAGTTATTGCTTTTTATAAATTTAACACTTTTGGTTACTTCTTAGGGCCACTGGGCTGGTCTATTTAAAAAAAAGAAAAAGTGCATTCCCTTTTGTAAAAAATCCTTGCTGGCTAAAATCCAGACTTTCCAACAGGATACAAAATTCAGATCTGCTCTTTCTCAAAATTAAGTATGCCCTTGTTAGCGTGACACTTAAATTTGATCATGCAATCCCTCTGATTAAAGCCTTTCACTGTTTATTTACCGTCTGCAATATTAAATCCAAACCTTTTAGTGTAAACATATCTGACATGTAAACTCACCAAAACCATTCTCTGGATAAAATTTAAAGGTCTTAACATAATATGAAATTCTGACATGTCATTCCTCAAGGCAGGGCCTCACATTTTTTTAGCATGGTGTACAAATTGGACAAAATCACCGTCATCATCATCACAGAAACATGTAGGTAGCAATTGCATAAATTAGCTCATTTCCTCCTCATGAAAGTCCTCTGAGGTCTGTACTATTGTAAAATTCCAAGTCTCTGACATAAAATTCTAATTGAAGTACAAAATTTGGCTAAGTAATTCATCTGCCGTCTCATCTATCAGAAATAAAAATCTCAGCTTGTCTCTCCCTTAAAATCCTTGATTGGCTAAAATTCAAATTCCTTAGCAAGATGATTTTAAAACCGTATTATATACTTTCTTAAGATAAAAATCTATAACTAATAGATTAAATCTTTCAACTGTCCTGCTTTCAACCTAAAATCTAATCACAAAGACCTTTACACTCTTTAACCCTTAACATCCAAGTTTAAAACTTTTGCCAAGATAAGTAAAAATCATCCCATAATTTCTGTTTCAAACATAGGAAAGTCTCCTTTTGTTGCCTCTAACATGAAGTTCTGACCACAACATAAAACAATAACTTTCACCATGTAATTCATTTGCCAACTGATCAATACAAAAATCCTCAATCTCGCCAGGCCAATCCCTGAAATCTTGGATTGGCTTAATTCCAAACCTCTTAGCAAGATATAAAACATCGCCCATGTTATTTCTCAACAGTTTCCAAAGGTCACATTTCTTGCAAGAAACATGGAATTTGCTCTTGTAACTTGTGCTTAAAGGTTTATAATATCTTTGGATTACCTATGAGAGAAGGTCTAAACTGTTAGCATAAAATGATACATTATTCGCCATGATTTTTGTGCAGACTGCTCCATCCCCCCCCGCACCCCCCCCATTCACCATATCACTTGCTCACAGTCTCTGAATGGCTGACATCCAAATTCCTTAGCATGGCATAAAAATGTGATTCTGTCATTCCTCAAAACTGTGTCCAAGCTTCTTAGCATGCAACATAAATTTAATCATAATGTCTCTTCTCTGCCCAGCATATAGATGACCCACCCAGCTCCTCAGCAATGGCGCAGGCTGGGCTCCCTGGGCTGAGGAGTTGCCTCTGGAGGCTGAGGGGTCAGGGCTGGTTCCTTGTGTGGTTCATCCGATTCAGACACCTTAGCTAGAGCATGCTTTACCATCTGATTCCTCTAGAGACAAAATACTCATCAATTCACTCCTTGAAACCCTCTGCTGTCTCAACTCCAAATGCCTGTGCATGAGGATTCAGAAATGAGGTCATTTCCCTCCTGTAACAGTGCCTTCAGTGCGCACATAAAACCACAGCTCCTTAGCATGTTAGAAAAACTTGATCATATTATCTTAACCGTAAAAATCCACTCTGGCTATGCCGAAATGTAAAAGTTGGAACATGTAACTCCCCAATTTAAACTTTTCAAAGTTTCTTCATTTCCTGTAACATAAAGTCCCAAGTACTTAACATAAAATGCAACATTTTACCATGTAATTTATCTCCAGACTGGTCTATAAAAAAACCCCAGTCTCACCCTGTCACTCTTTTAAGCCCTTTATTGGCTTAAATCCAAACTTATTAGCATGGTATAAAAATCTGATCATGCCATCTTCTAAAATAAAATTCACACTTCCTAGCACAATACATTAAATCTGATCTCGTAACTCCACCTCTTAATTGCGTATGACAGAAAAGTCCAGATTCTTGGCGCGAAATGTGAATTTTATTTCTTAATTTTACTGCATCCTATTTATCCAACACAAGACTCTAACTGTGTCGCTCCCTTTGAACTTTTTATTGGATAAATAAAATTCCTAGGCATGTGCAAAAACCTCATCATGTCAGAGCCTCTAAATAAATTCCAAATTTCTTTGCATATTCACAGTGCTGATCATGTAACTCGTCTGATTAAAACCTTTCAATTTTGGTGTCAACATTAATCAGCTCTTGGCCTGCCCTGCAAATCAGACTTTGGCATTCCCTCAACCAACATAGAAAGTTGGAATGTTTGGGCATGATCCTTAAATTTGTGGCTGTTACTTTTCTGTTTACAATTTTTCAGTGTTTCCTTATTGCTTGTAATATAGAGTCCAAAGCTGTTAGTTATAAAATAGATTTGATTGTGTTTTCTGCAGACCCATCTCCCACAAGCCAAAATCTCACCATCAATTTCTTAAAACTCAGGCAAAAATCCAAACTCCTTAGCATGATGTAAAATTTTGATCCTGTCACCCCTCAAAATAAAGTCCAGATTTCTTTCCATGAGACCCAACTCTACTCATGACACTCCTGCTTAGAAGCTTTTCCTGCATCTTCATCACTCATGTAGCCCCCTTGTCCCTGAGTGGCACCCAGACTTAACGATGACATTCTGAGCTTCAAACCTTCCACATTTCGTGCCCACGACATAAAATCCAAATGCCTGAGCATGAAGTAGAAATTCTCATGTTGAAAATCTTTAGGTTGCCCCGTATTCCTTAAAATACAGACCTTAAATACCTTTACACAAAACCCGACCTTTTAAGCATCTAGGACCCGAGGCTCCAGTTCCTTCCTCCTGAGGCTTCTCTGTAGACACGCTGAAGCCTGGTTTCTCACTCCGCATGCATCCTGGTTTTATCGTTCCCAGATCTTTCTGACTTTTAAAGCTCACAATTCGTGAGTTCATACAGCAGCATACCCTCTTTCTTTTCCTGGGCCAGGCACTGTGCTAGAAGCCCCATGCCAAGAGATGGAGGACCCTGCCCGAGTGCATCCCAGCAAGGAGATGAAAGCCTCACCCAGGTGCTGCAGGAGGTGCCTCTCTACACCTGGTGAGTGTCTCCTCGGAGGCTCAGTTCACAGGTCTGCCCCTCGGGGTGGACTTCAGGCCTCTGTGGCTGTGATAGTCTGGGCTTCCTGTCTGGCTTCTGTCCTCTGCCAGTCTACCCTACCTCCACCCCGGGCTCTGCAGAAGGAATATACTCAGACCTTCAGATGTTATCTCCCTAAACATTGTTCTCAAACTTCATGCACTTTCTTTGAAAAACAGCTACTGATCAGGAAATTCCCACTTAAAAAAAAAAAAAAATCTGGATTTGCTATTGGGTTCAGAACTGCCCTTCAGATCTTTGATGGGTCCCTGTGCCCCCCAACACTCAGACAAGACACCCCAGCCTCACCACTGTCAGTGCCCAAAGCCTCGGTCAGGTCAGCTCCTTGCTTGCCTCTGAGCAAGTGGCCCATGGGGTCAGGGCTGCCAACGCGCATCTATGAAGGGTTGGGATTGAGGGGGGGGGCGGGGGGGGATCCCTCAGCGAATACCTCTCCCTGTACAGTAAAGGAAATCTGATAAAAATAGAGCTTGGAAGAGGAGATGAGAGGATATTTAGGAGCAGAGTTGGGCATGGGCGGGGGGCAGGGGGGTTGGAGGAATTAGGGGAGAGGTGAGGACAGGGGAGGGGGGGGCGGGGGCCCCTCAGGAGCTCAGGAGCCAGGTGAGGACAGAGGGGCTGGAAGGGAAAGGAGGGAGGCTGTGCACGTCCCTCTCCATGACTCCTGGACACCTGCCCAGGGACCCCTACAGCCCAGCTCTCTGGGCTGCAAAGGGGTCTCAGGTGAAGACCCCTGTCACTTGGGCCTCCTTGTAGGCAACACTAGAGCCACTTGAATGTGAGGGTCACAGCCCTGAGTCTTGGGTCTAAGTGGCCTTAGCCTGCTGGTGGCATGGGTGGGAGTCAAGCCGTGGGATGGGGCTGGGCACAGAAGAACACCATGAGGGCCAAGGATTGTTGTTCATTTATTTTGTTAAACAAATGTCAAGGTCAAGATGTGCCAAGGCTTGGAATTTGTCTTAATTTCCCTAGAAGGGACCAGGGGTTTGAAGGGTCACTCTCTTTTATTCAACACCCTGGGCGGAGTGGGGAACGAGGGTGGAGGGACTCTCAAGGGGACTTCCCATAAAGTATGTGGTGAGGAGCCTGTAGGGCCCGCCAGGCTGACATGGCCCATGCTGGGGTCCCTCCTGACCCCGACTTGTGGCTAAGGACAGCTTGGGCCTTCACATCCTCCAGGGTCTTCTGAGAGGTCCCCCACTCCTCACCTCCTCATGCCATTGAGTGGAAGGGCAGTGCCCTTGACCCAACTTGTGCTGAGGCTTCAGCCCTGCCCCTCCACACTTGACTGGCAGCTCCAGGGGGCAGCTGGATCACTCTGCCCAGAATAACCCTGGGCGGGGGGAGGCAGTCATGTGTGCCCCTCCTCTGCAAGCTGCCCAAATCGCGCAGCCAATCAGCTGCTCCTGAGCCTGCGCTTGCCTTTCAAGGCTAGCCGGCAGCGACGGCCCTGTGAGCGGCAGGCCTGCATGACTTTCCTTTTGACCTTTTCCTCCCAGGCCTCAGTTTCCCCTGTTCAATGGGGAAATGGGCATTGATCTTCTCCTTTGTATCTGTAGCTCTGGGACTCCTGAGAGGTGGTTTGTGGTGTCCCCTGGGGAACGGTGCAGGTGTGGGAGGGGCTGGCTGAACAGGTGGGGCTCAGGGACCCCAGCCCCTGCCTCGGTTCTACCAGCTACTCCAATAAATTGGGGTCCTCAGACTATTTCATTTGCACAGTGCCCTGGGCTGTGGCTGAGAGCCCAGACAGCTGTTTCTGGTAGCATCTGTCTCGACTTCACAGCTGTTCTGTCTCTGGTGGGCTCCCTGCTTGGCCTGTGTCCTCCTGGCCCTGTGGATGTACCTGAGTGGTGGGAGGCTTGGGGGGCGGCACTTCTCAGAATTGGAAAGTGGTGACTTCCATGCACAGAGGAGGCGCAGGCCCTGGGGACGGACAGTGGAATGAGAGCCAGTGCGGAGGCAGAGGCTGATGGCCTGCAGAGCCTCAGTTTCCTCATTTACAAGATGCAGGAGCACCTCCTTCCCACGTGTGGGCATGTTCTTATCATTAGGATTCATGACCACTGCTCTCGGAACAGCCACTGCAGTGTGAGGCCACCATCCAGAGCGTTTCACGCATGGCGGGCATGGGCTTTGATTTTCCCATTAGCTCCCGAGGGAAGGAGGCCCAGCTTTGAAAGTGGGTGACTGGGAGTCCAGAGGGTGGCCTAACTGCTCAGTGGCAACAGCCTGTGGACCCAGGCCACTGGACACCCCTATCCCTACTGGGGACAGTGGCCAACCTGTGCTGGTGAGGGATGGGATCCAGACTTGCTCCTTATGGTGGGGAATGGCCCCCCATTCTGTAAAGTCCAGCTGAGGCGGAGAGGGCTTGGTGCTGCCCCCAGGCTCTAGAAAGGAGCTTCAGAGGCAGGGCTGGAGGTAGAGTTCCGAGCCAGGTCACTCCCCCGCCCCAGCAAATGGCGCAGCCCTGGGCAGACACCCAGGGTGGGGTCAGCTGCTGCCATTTGGGGACCTGGAGGGGGCCTCGTGACTACAGAGGCTGCCTTCGTGCCAGGGAGCTGATGCAGCAGCCTCGTGGCCTGACGGGCTGCCAGGTCGCAGAAGTGGGGGCCTCGGTGTCTGCCTCCATCTCCCCAAAAGGCCTGTGCTCTCATTCCCCACTCATCTTGGCTTATTTGGTATCGGCAGAGGGGCAGGACAGCTGGCTGAGGACCTTCTAATTATAGCGGCTCAAGTATTTGAACAGAGGTATTGAGTACCTCGACCATGTCCTGCTCTTTTGTACAGACAAATAACTCTTTAACCTTTCTTCTGAAGCACAGCCACTCCCTGTTTAGTACACAGGCAGCCCACCTCCTCCCTCCCAGTGCCCTGGCAGAGGCCAGCATGGGACCTCTACCCCCAGTCTTACCTTGGCTGCAAGGGTCCAAGTGGATCTCCTGTGGTCCCGCTGGCCTCGAAGCAAGCTTCTCTCTAAAAGGTTTTTGGAAAAATGCATTTTCTTAACACTGAAGGTCCAGTCTTCTTGACACACATGCCTTTTCCACAGTAACTGGCCAGCGGCACTTAAGAGACCCAACTTTTCTCTCTAACGAATATAGTCTGTGGCCTGGGCCTTGTGGGACCCTGAGCTCCACCTTCTCTTCCTCCACCTTCTGGGCCCTGTCCCCTGGTGTCAGTCTGGGTTTGTTGTCCCTACTCTCATGCTCCCCTGCACATAGTAGGGCTGCTGGCAGCAAGCAAGACCTGGGGCAATGACTCAGGGAGGCCCCTATCTATCACACCTGGTCAGCAATCTCTCTTCTTCCTCTCAGGTGGCCTGGAGGTGAGATGGCTGCTTTCTCCCTGCAGGGAGCAAATGCCTGGCCCAGGATCGGATCAAAAGGTCTGAAAAATTATTCCTGTCCCCCCGAATTTATCGGTTTAGACAATTTGCAAATTTGTAAACTTCTTAGAATGGAACTAACTTAAGCCCTCCATTTTGCAGCTGGGGCTCACTGCCCCCAGTGGGCAGTGAGTCAGCGGGTTCCTGAGGCAGCTCTGTCCTGTCCCAGCATGGCCACCCTCCTGGCTGACCTTGGAGAATCAGTATTCCAGCATCCATGGCCTTCTAGGTACGTCGCCCTCCTCTCTTACACTGACAGCTTCTTTTTGGAGGTAGAATTCTAGAGGAGTGGGAAGCAGAATAACCCTGCTAATCTTGTTATGTGTAACCCCGGGATTCCTAAAATCTATCACCACCACAGAGCAGCGGGGAGAAAGCAGTCTGCCCTTGGAGGAGCTAGGTGACCCTGGACACGTAACAGTGATCACCTTCCCCTTCTGTGTGGTGGGCAGCAATATTCAAGGGCTGCTTTGATTCCTTAATGAAATGAAATAGAAAATGCCTGGCCCTCAGGTGGCAACTCAGCTCACCTGCGTGCGGACGGCGGGCTCCTCAAGGGGATGCGTCTCCTCAGGGGTCCCTTTGAAAACACTTCTAAGTTTTTAGAATTCAGAGGGAAGATAAGGGCCAAGAGGGAGGGCAGTGCTGGTTTCCGGAGGGCATTTTCTTGAAGCCACTAACTTTTTTATTGGCATTTCCTGGATTTATGAATTAGTGAGGAATGTTTATTGTTCCCTAGGGTCATCCCGGCCTGGAAGTTGGAAGCAAGGAACTTTAGTCTGGGGACTGCATTTTATTTTTATCATAAAAAATATTTGCAAAACTCTTGACAGTCACTTCAAGGTATTCCCAAAGATGGAGCCTAGTCCATAATAAAATATCTTGTGATAAATGGCAGGGTCCCATGTTTGGGAACGGGGTTAAGGCACAGGGCCAGATGACCTATCTCACATCTTCTGCACAAAGTCGTGCTTGGAAGTAAGGCTCTGGGTGGCATAGGGGAGAGAAGTTCCCTGAAGGCCCCACAGACCCCCATTACTCAGAGTAGTGTCTTTCTCACCAACTCCCTACCCATGGTCTGGGTCTGTGCAGGTGGAGGCCAGGACAGAGCTGCCCAGGGCTTCAGAACTAATCTGGGTTTGCAGTTGTCTGGTTTTGTTTTTTAGGGGTCTTTAGTCTTAAGCTGCAGACAGAGTGCGATCATCCCAGCCTGGTCACAGGCTGCAGTGTTCAAGGATTTTGACAGCCTGCGGCAGCTGCAGGGGCCTGAGGGGTTTCATATGTGCAAGCAAGCCTGGGGCGGGGGAGGCTTGGGAAGGGGGATTTCTGATGGGGGTGGGGTGCAGTGAGGTACCCTAGATACCCTGGACACAGAGGTGGGCAAAGGCCAGTCAGACTGCTTCCCCTTTTCACAGAGCTGACAGGATGCTAATGTCCTTTAGCTGCGGGCCCCTCTGGATGTGAATGGGGAGGGGACGTGGCAGCTGTGTGCTGTGGGGATCGAGCTGTCAGGGGCTGTGGTGCGGCCCCGGCTCCTGGCCAGCAGGCAGGCCTGGCTATTGATGCACCCGAGCTGCTGCACCCGCTGTTCTCGGGCCTGTGTCCTCCTCTCCAGGACCTATCTCATGTCACATTCCCCCTGAGTTCTCATTCCATTCTGCTAATCCCCGAGAACATGGGCCAGGGCATTAGCTTTCGGGGCCTCTTAAAGACCAAAAAGGAAAGTGCTCCCCCATGGGTGCATTGCGGACATTGCCGGGCAGCGGCTCCGAGGGATTTGGGGCTCTGGGTGGTGAAATCATAGCCACAGGCAGGCACACACCTGCTGGCTCCTGTCACTGACAGGCTGCCGGAAGGCTCCAGCTCCCACGTTAGTGCATATAAAATTAAAAAAAAAAAAAAAAAAGAAAAGAATGATAAAGCGTGAATCCCCTGTGTCTGTAGCGCTTGCTTTGGGCATATGTAACCAGCTTCCAGTTCATCAGCCAAGTGCTCTTTGCATTAGCAACGACAACAAAAGCAGAAAACGCCACAAGCAAGCAAACCCAACCAAACCAAAAAACCCACACGACATGTCTATTTTAATTATACGAGAAATGCATAGATAATTAATATGCTCATTAGTAAAAAAAAAATCAAACATGCAGATAAAGCTAAAGTTATCTTTAACCCTCCCTCTCCTCAAATTAACCTCCATGATCAGTTTCAGGTGTATTGTTCTAGCTAGTTCTCTGTGCATTTGCATATGTATGTAAATATACCTCTACGATATATTACTTTGTTTCTGTTTTACATAAACTGTGTCTCAGTGTACGTTTCCCTTTGAGGTTTGCATCAGCTTGTTTTTCTTCCCTCCAGAATCTGCTTGGAGGAAATAAAGATCAACGCCATTCTTTACAATAGCACCTTGGTACCCTCTGATCCATATACCCGGGATTTATTTAACTATCTCACTGCTGCCACAAAACCTGAGGTTCTATGCCCCCCCCAACCCCCGCCCCCGCGGGATTGGATTGCGGAGGCAGGTGTAAGTAATTGCCGGAAGTCTGGATTTGGGGAGTGGGCTCATGAGTGTTTATGACATTATTACAAATGAATATATAAATGCATAAATTAGCAAAATAAAAGGGGACATGCTTGGGCCAGTGATGAGAAAGTGTCTATGAACAAAGGATCGTGATTAATCCAGTTCTGCGCAAAATACTGAGGTCCATTAAAAGACAATAGGTCTCCACTGTTCCATTTTTTTAAGAGCTATTTAATATTCTGGGGTATTGGCGGGCGGGGGGGGGCATTGTTTATTACACCCTTCTCATTGTGGAGAATCCCAGCTGTACCTCCTCTGGGGGGGCAGGAGAATATGTGCAGAGACTCTTTGGTAAAAGTCCGAGTTGTCAAGGTGGGTCACGGGTTTGTGAGTGCCCACTATGTTATTAAAAAAACAAAAATGAGTATGTAAGTAAAAGTGCTCTGCAGGAGTTGGTGAGGAGGGTATGGCACAAGCCGACATTTTAATTAATAGGGTTCTGTTCAACTGATGCCCAGTAAAAAAGACCTAAGCTGTTCCCCCCTTTTGTCATTACTAATGACACTGCAGAGAGCACTCTGGTAGCTACATCTGTAAACACATCCCCAACTGCGTTTACCCCACCTTCCTAGAGGTGGGACAGCTGGGTTAAACGGTTCACACAAGTTTATTTTCATTGAGCCATCTTTCTAAAATGCCGTTTTGACCTTGTTTCTGTCTTGCCTTCAGTCCTCTATCTGACTTCCCGGAGCTTCCGGGACAGGGTCCAAAACAGAAAAAAAAAAAATAATAATAATAATAATAAAAGGGAAAAAAAGAAAAGAGAACCTTAGCCTAGTCTAGCATGAGAGCTCCTTCGGGGTCTGGCTAAAGTCCCCCTCCCACCTTGTGCCCCACCCTGTTTCCCTGCTAGGCACACTTCAGCTTCACTGATGCCACAGGGTGGTCTTTCAGCCAGCCAGTCCTCGACCTTTAAGGCCAGCCTTGAAATCCAGCCTTGAAATATCCCCCATGGTGAACCCATTGTTAGACCCGGCTCCCCTCCACGCGCGTTCGAAAGTCCCTGGAAACGTCATGCCTCACTGACACTGTTTGCGAGTGGGAGAGGGTCTTCACATTTTTCTAGAGTTGACAAAGAGTGGCCAGATGCTAATCACCCCTTTCCTTTGTCCTTTTCCAGAAGCCCCCATCTCCACCGTGTGCTGGGTCTGACTTCCCCTCACTGAGACCAGGTCATGTTCTCTTTGGGTCTGATGGGCCGTGGCAGAGGGTCGTGTTTCCTGCCCTGTGGTGCTGGGTGAGTCTGCAGATTACCATAAAGCTGCACACACATGCCAGGGGGCCATGCTTGCACCCCCTACAGTCCCTCTGCACCGGGACCCAAGGCAGGGGCATGGGACACAGGCTGAGATCCTGTGATGAGTGTTCGGGTGTAATCACAGCCTGGATACGGCTGATTGCATCTTTACAGAGCGTTCCTTGCCAGAGGCAAAGGGGTCTGGTCCCAGGACGTGGGATAGCTGGGTCAGAGTGAAGGTTCTGAGGACAGGGTACGACTGGGCTGAGAGTGGGTACTTCTGCCGCTGGGAATGTACTAGAAAAGTAGAGGGAGAGGGGTGGTGATGGGCATCAGCACCACCCTTGAGGACACAGGTCTTTGCCTGCACGTCAGGGGAATAAGAGCTACCAGAATGTTCTTTCCCAGGGAGCGGGGAGGGAGGGAGGCATCTTAAGGAGCTAGCCACCCTGAGCTCAGACCTAGCTACAGAGCAGCGCTGTGTGTCCTTGGCAAGTCCCCAATTGTTTCTGTGCCTTGGTTTCTTGATATTAAAAAAAAAAGAAAGAAAAGGAAGAAGAAGAAAAAAAAGAGCCATAATCTCCCTCGCACAGGGCTATTGAGATCTCAATGAGAAAATAACGCAGATAAATCATCCAGCACAGTAGCCAGCACAGGGCGCAGCGTGCCCAGCAAAGACCCCCGGCGGTCCCCAGCTCATCCATTCCAAGTGCTTAACCCGCCCTGCGGAGCCGTAGCCGCTCCTTTTCAGAGTGAGACCAAACAGAGGAACAAAAAGGCAGTCCCCAGAGAATGCCGACCAGAAAATAAAGCCGCCCCCTGTCACCCGCACCCCTGGCAGGCTCCCCCCAGGGGACACGTGTCCTTTTTCTCAAACACCTGGGTCTGGGGAAGGGGCTGCCCCCTGCAGCTTTTAATTGGGTTCTCCTGAAAAGTTTGGTAAGAGTTTATTTTATTTTTATATAAATACATATAAAAAGTCAGACTGCTCTCAGGCAGATTTTTTTAGGCTCATATTTTACAGAGTTTGGCAAGGGTGCCTCGGAAGGAACAGTGGTCGCTGTCTCCAGAGGTAGGAATTCCTGGAAAAAGCTCTGGCTAAGCCTGACTTCTCCTCAATTTCACAGGAAATTCCCCCTGGGCCGGGCCCAGTCTAAATGAGCGTTTTGTGTGTTGGACAAGGTGGCTGTGAGACAGGACTTTCATGCTGCCTTCATGCAGAGGTGACCCTCTGCGGCCCTCTGTGGGGCACAAAGGCTCCTCTCTCCTAGATTTTCCGTTTCTTTACTCTGGAGCGAGAGCCTCGCACGGGGGAGGTTTCTCCGTGGCTGTTTGTAGACTGGCTCAGGTCTCTGCAGTGTAGCCTCAGATTTTCTGCGGAGACCCCCTTTCCTACCTTCCTCATGCATTAGGAGGGAGCCAGACCCTATTTGCAAAAGGAATTAGAAGTGAGAGCAGAACATGGCCAGTGTTCCTTCCCTGCCCGCAAGGGCTAAAGGGCTTGTTGCCCTGCAGTCTCTGGTCCTGCCGAGGGTCTTGGGGTAAATGTACTTCCAGATTGACACCAAAGCTCCTCAGAGCCACACCCAACCAGAAAGGTTTATTCAAAAAATTCTGCATGTGAGTGCCTCCTTGTTCCAGGCCCCTCACTGTCCCCCCTCCCGTGTACCGCCGCAGGGGCTGCAACAAACACGCATACGTCACATCTCCAAACGTGTTTACATCGAGAGTTTCCAATCAATCCTTTAATAGGCGAAAACAACATCAGCAACAACAGCACAACAAAAAAACAAGAGAGAGCAAACCGTTTCTCCCCGGCGCGCGGCGCTCAATCAGGCAGCCGGGCAGTCTGTCTGTCCTTAGGCCCGCAGAGAGCGGACCAGCCTGCGCTCTCACCTGCAACGCGATGCTGCCCCCCCACGGCGGGCTAGAGCAGCTGTGCGACCCTGAGGCCAACAGACTGGGCTGTCAGGAGCAGGACAATCAGGCAGCGGCCCCTGGCCGCTTATCCTGAACGGCTCTGCCCTTTCTGAAATCTTCCTGCCTCAGAGAGGTGCGTGTCTGCCCCCCGAAGACTCGCCAGGCCCCCTGT